TTTTTAAAGTCATTCAGCGGAATATTTATAGTTACAAAATATCATTTCCAATAATGGCAAATGCACAGAGAGAGCGAGAGAGAGAGAGAAGAGAGAGGGGGCGTGTGTGTGTGTGTGTGCAATGAAAAGAGGATTATAGAGCACTTGAGAGATGTGATTCATCCTAAATCTCATATAATTTAGGTTTAGTCAGAATTTGGTCGTAGATAAAACCAAAGATCGAATACCAATCAGTTCTTCTTCTCAATAATCCTCCATTATTATTCATAATTAAAATTTTTAATGTTATTTGACCGTTACTCCAGTCCGTTAAGGCTGATGTATTTTATTTTATGCATGCGAATTATACTGATTTATTTTTATGTATACAAAGATTTAATAATCTATATCCGTGTTTTTAATGAGTCGAGTGTTTTAAAAATTCAATTTTTTATATCGAATTCAAATTCATAAATACATATTTTATACGCGCAAAAAATATTTTAAAAATGTACTTTTATGCGTACAAAAATTCAAAATTTATTTTATCCATACGAAAAAATTCAGAATGTATTTTTACGCATACGGAAAAATTCAAAATGCATTTTTATGCATACTAAAAAATTCAAAATGCATTTTTATGCATACTAAAAAATTCAAAATGCATTTTTGCGCATACGGAAATATTCAAAATGCATTTTTATGCATACTAAAAAATTCAAAATGCATTTTTATGCATAGGGAAAAATTCAAAATGCATTTTTGCGCATACGGAAATATTCAAAATGCATTTTTATGCATACTAAAAAATTCAAAATGCATTTTTATGCATAGGGAAAAATTCAAAATGCATTTTTGCGCATACGGAAATATTCAAAATGCATTTTTATGCATACGGAAAAATTCAAAATGCATTTTTATGCATACGAAAATATTCAAAAATACATTTGTATACATACAATCATTCAAAAATACATTTCATGCATACAAAAATTTGAAAAATATGCATTTTTACCTATACAAAACATTAAAAACATATTTTTTACGTATACAAAAATTGAAAAATATTCTTTTCACTCATACAAAAGAATTCATAATAGATTTTTATACATACAAACATTCAGCAATACATTTTATGCATACAAAAAAAATCCAAAAATGCATTTTTACGCACATACAAAAGATATTCACAAAAAAAATTTCTAGGCACACAAAATGCAAACAATCCAAAAATAAAACGCACAGAAGAGAATTTAAATAATTTCACTTTCTTATTGGATGACGAAATAAAAAAACACACACACACAAAAAAAATAAATTACTATATTTTATGGTAGGAAAAATTTAACGGATGTTTTTATAGTAGCCGGAAAAGGGGGAAGAAACACGATTTTTTTATTTTCTTTTTTTATTTTTTTATCAGAAGTAGATAGACTTGAATCGATTTTGGTGCAGAATATAAACTCTAAATATTGTCCGCGATAACTTTTCCTTTAGCAATATATATTTTCTATTTTTATTTTATCAGAAAAGATTTTATATATATA